ATGAAAGTCAGCTGGAATTTCAGATGAATTTCATGATGAATTTGAATCACTTTGTATATGAAACTTAATTTTTTTAATTTGTGAAATAATATTTGGAGACAGTTATATTGGAATTTTTAGTTTTATTTACACTGGCACAACATTTGCAATTCTATAAAGTCTATTTGGATAAATTTTTTGGAGTAGAAAAACAAAATGTAAAATAATAATTCTTTCATGATGAATTTCGTGATATTATTCTGAATTTTGTGTTCTTCTACTCCAAAAAATTTATCCGAATAGACGTTATAGAATTGCAAATGTTGAACCAGTGTAAATAAAGCTAAAAATTCCAATATAACTGTCTCCGAATATTATTTCACAAATTAAAATAATTAAGTTTCATATACTATTTGTTTCAAATTCATCATGAAATTCATCTGGAATTCCAGATGAAATTTATTATGAAATTCATATTTGTTTCACAATCTGAAGTTCATCCGGAACCAAAATTTTTTTTGTACGGGCAAGCGACTGATAATTTTAACGTCTTAAAATTCTTCACTCTAATTTATAAATTTAATGATACTGAAATTAACAGACGTCTGCCAATTTTTGGGAGTTTTTATTAACTAAAATGTTAAGAAAAAATTTTAATAAAAAAATTTCACATCTAAAAATTAATAAGAAATTACAAGTACATACAATTTATTTTTTTTTTTATAAATGATTTGTAACAAAAATTTTTAAACAATGTCAGATGTCTAATAATTTCAGTATTTTTACTATTTTTTACTATTTTGTATGATACTAAAAATAGCCAACGTTGAAAAATTTTTGATTTTTTTCATCAATTAAATTACAAGTAAAAAAATACTTTAAAAAAATTGCACGTATAATTTTTCCAATTTTCCACTTGGGAAATTTTTCATGTCAATTTTTTGATAATAATGTTTTCAATAAAAAAAATTATAAAATTTTTCATCTATTTTGTAAAGTTAATGTCATTTTTATTTATAAGTATTTTGAAACTGACATTAGTAGACATTTAATAATTTTTGGAATTTTTACATACTATTATTACATAGTATTAATACCTACTAAAATTAGCAAACATTTAACAATTTTTTATTTTTTGAATTGATAAAAATTTTGAGTAAAAAAATATTCTTAAAAATCGCACTCAGAATTTAAATAAATTTTCTACATGTTAATTTTTTTCAATAGTTTTTTTTCATACAAAATTATTATAAAATATTTGTTAAAATTCGCACTTATAATTTTTTAAAATTTCTGTGTAGAATTTTTTTGCTAAATTTTTCTTATTATACCTAATTTAATTGTTATAGAAATATAAAAAATGTTTAGATGCCTGTTAAATTCAGAATCATAAATGCTTACAGAAAAAAATAATTTATGAAAATTAATTTAGCAAATATTTAATAATTTATAAAACTTGTTAACAAATAAATTATGGCAAAAAAAATTGACGCAGAAATTTAAAAAAATTAAAAATGCAATATTCTAATAATTTATTAGAATTAATTTAACTGTTAAATAAAATTAAAAATTGGTCAAGTGACAGCAAACTTTAATATCATTAATAATTTGAATTAAATAATTGACTTACCTATGATATAATTAATAAAACAATTTATTAATGCATAATAAATTTAATAATTAAAATATTTATTATTATTTTATATTTTTTACAATAACCTAAAAGTTCATAAACTCAGAGCTCGAAGTAAAAAATCTGTGCTGCCGCCTGGTGTCGAAATTTGAAACTAAAATTACCGTAAAAAATTTCAACACTTATTTACGACTTAGGCACACACACTAATCATCAATTACTTCATCTAAATAATTACACCCACTGATATCTTATTATATTTGCTACATCATTGTACATAATTTGAAATTATTGAAACTCTAAGAAGCTGATGATTTTTGGTAATTGTTAAAATAGTGATATATTAAAATTTTTTTTGAAAGTAAAAGCTTTTATGAGGTTACAATCACTCTGAAAAATAAAAAAAATAATTTTGACAGAAATGTGTACGTCTATTTTGAAAGAGGTAGTTATAATAAATTTTAATATTTATTTAAGTACTTCTATCTAATCATTACTGATAGTAAAATTTTTTACAGGATGCTACAAATACAACTCCGAAAAAATTGAAAAAATTATTGGTTTCATTTTTAAGTTGTTTGATAGTGCAATTTCATTGTTTACTCGATAGTATTGTTGATTTTATTTTTGGATGCTATTATCATGGAAAAGACAAAAAAGTTCCTCCAATTAGTGACAAATTATTGCTGGAAAGTGCTGTAGATTTAGCTGATAAAATAAGGTTTGTGTTAATATCGTTATTATTTTTTTTTTTAATTCATATAAATAATAATTTTTATTTTAATTTAATTAGAAAAAAGGAAATTTCCTCTGAATTAGTTGTCACCACATTTATCAAAAGATGTAAGGAAGTTAATAGTTTATTAAACGTAATCGTCGACGAAAGATATGAGCAAGCAATTGAAGAAGCAAAAAATGTCGATAAAATTCTAGCAAGTGATATTGATATTGAAAAACTTAAATTAGAAAAACCATTTTTTGGTGTGCCTTTCACTACTAAAGAAAGCAATGAGGTTCAAGGTAAGCTAGATTTTTTATGATCCTGAAATCAACAGACATTTAAAAACTTTCTAAAATTTAATTAAATTAGGACCAAAAGAAAATATTCATAAAAAATTGCACTTATGGTTTTTCAAATCTTAGGATAAATGTAGAATTTTTCTTTTTATTTTTTTGTAATAATTTTTTTACTATGAAAAATCATTAAAATTGTCAGAAGTCTGCTAATTTTATTTTTATTAATAATCAAAGTAGTCTGGTGATTCTCCTATTTTTTAGTTCTTTAAAATCATTATTATCATTTTTTAAATATAAGACAAAAAAAAATGTTAAAAAAAAAAAAATTTTCTCCGTTTAAATTGTACTTTATTCAAGAATTTTTTCGTTTTTTATCAAAATCATATCACGTTGCTAATGCCAAAAAGGTGTACATCATTTACCAAATTTTTTTCTTGACCTACGCCCTTTTTGGGTTTAAGATAAAAAATTTTTTAAGCCAAGGAGCGTTTATGAATAAATAATAAAAATAGCTTCTAGGGACCTTAAAATGTCGAGATCTTATAGAAAATTGATTTTTGGAAATTTAATTGAAAACACTATCACAGCCAAATTTTTTTATCGAGACATTAAAAATTTTATTTTTAATTTTTTCAATGAATTTTCACAAAATACGAAAAATTGAAAATTTAAAAAAATTAGAGTGTGATAGTGTTTTCAATTAAATTTCCAAAAATTAATTTTTTGAAAGATTTAGACGTTTTGAGAAGCCCTTAGAAACTATTTTGACCATTTATTCATATACACCTTTTGATTAAAAAAAATTTTGGTAATTATTTACCAGTGGGGTCAATCCCATTTTGGGCCATAACTAGGTGAAAAATGAACATTTTTTAATTTTTTTTTATTCTGGTTGTTTTTACGGCGCATTTATGATAAAAAATGTCGTGTAAGGAAAAAATAAAGATTTTGATAGCTTTTTTGCCTTCAAAAGTTGGAAAAAAAATTGGCTTTCATGTTTTTGGATAAAATTTCTATTTTATCTTTTTTTGATAAATTTTTTTTTTTTTAAAGTACATAAAAAAAAAATTAAAAAAAAATGATCAATTTGATAAGAAAAAAAAAAAAAAACAAATAACATGGCCCATCATGGATTGACCCCACTTGTAGATAATTACCAAATTTTTTTTCTTAAATCCAAAAAGTCATAAGTTGAAAAATATTTTTTTTTGCCTTTTTCAACCAAATTTTTTTTCTTATACATTTACAAGATAATTGGAGAAAAAAAAAATTTCATACGCCCTTTTGGCTTTAGTAAAGCAATATTTTGTTTATTATTATTGTTTATATTAACCTATTGAAAAATCGGTTAGGTTTACTTCATTCTGTGGGTATGATGGCCAGAAAAGGATATCTGTCGACGGAGGATGCTACAGTCGTTGGTTACGTTAAAAATGCCGGTGCAATTGTTGTTGCTAAAACTAACATTCCTGAACTTAATTTATGGGTTGAATCTCGAAATATGATCTATGGACAAACAAATAATCCTTACAATACAACTCGTACCGTTGGAGGAAGTAGTGGAGGAGATGCAGCTATTACAGCAGCATGTGGTGTTCCCTTCGCACTTGGCTCAGATATTGGAGGTTCAATAAGGATGCCTGCTTTTTTCAATGGTGTATTTGGTTTGAAGCCTAGCGCAAGTAAGTATTTATTTCTGTTGAAAAAAACCTTTATAAATACTTAAACTCTAATTAATAAATTTTTTACCAAACAGAAGCAACACCTCTGAAAGGTATTGGCTTAAGATCAGTCGATTTCACTGATTCGATGGCTGAAGCAGGCCCGATTTGTAAGCACGCAAAAGATTTGCTGCCGCTATTGAAGATACTGACCAAAAATACCGATTTGATCAAAAAATTGGACACTCCTGTGGATGTCAAGCAGTTGAAAATATTCTACCAAGAATCGTTGGGTGATCTTCGCGTAAGCAAACTCACCGAAAACATGCGTACTGCATTTAATAAGGCAGTCACTCATTTTAAAGATTTGACTGGATCCGCGCAAAAAATAAAACTTCCCGGTTCAGAATATAGTTTTAGATTGTGGCGGTATTGGATGAGTCAAGAGCAAGCTGATTTTAAATCAGATATCATGAACCGTAAATCCAGAACAAGTGCCACCGCTGAAATTGTTAATCTTGTTACCAATAAATCAAATCTCACTTTAGCAGCTATTCTCAAACTTATTGATGAAGATTTCTTCCCTAAAGATAGTAAAGCATGGGCAGAGAGTGTAACTAATAGTATGAAAGAGTATTTATTGGTAAGTTGATTCAAATATTACTGAATACAGCAAGAGTATACTTACTGTTTAAAATTTTCGTAAATTTAGTAATTTTTTAGTATACAAGCATATTTTTAAATTAAATATCGAGTATATATAAAAAATTAATTATTTATCCATGGTAATTTTACGATATTGCCTCGTAAGTTCAAAATCTATTTATGAAACTAACTAATCTTTGTATGCAAATGCTTAAAAAATTAGCTTATTATATATTTAGCAACATAATGGTGAAATTAGAAGATGATAACACGCTAAAATAAAATATCGGAGTTTATTAAAAAAAAAATATATAACTTTCGTTGACTAAACTTACAAAATTAAAAAATTTTATTGTAATTGTAAAAAAATTTTTCTGATACTAATTCTAGTAGGGTAAATGCACCAATTATTGACCGATTAAGGTTTTCTTTTTCTGTATTAAGCTATAAAAAATCTATTAACCTACTAAAAATAATTTGTAATGGATTTTATTAAAGTTAAATACTTAATTAATAATAATTAATAACTATTTATAATAAAAATTAACAAAATTATATTAATTTTGTTATTTGAATCTTGAAATACTAAAATCACCAATTATTGACCGAATAAACCCAATAAATGACCGACCGTTCTCCAATTAATTCGACCGCTCAAATAATTATAAGTAATTTTGTAAACTACATGTATGTAATTAAATTTATGGAGTACTTTTTGAAGTATTACGACATCTTTAACAAAACTAAACACACAATATAATTTTAAATCGTACTTTTTAATAAAATAATATAAATAGCAATAATTTACATAATAAGTCACATTTCTTTAGGTCAAAAATAATCACAAATTCATTTTGATGACGATAATTCTTCTGATGCACTTGAAATTTTTTTATTCTTCTCCTTCCTTTTTTCAATTAAAGCTTTTTTACTAACTTGTAACTCTTTTTTATTTTTTTAATTGCTCAGCAATTTTTTCTTCTAATAATTCGTTCGTTGATATAACCGTTCACTAAAAAAAATTA